CTCCTACAGCTGATAAATACCTTCAGGATACAAGATTAACTTAAAAAATCAGTATCCTTACTATATATAGATGACAAACGGACTGAGAAGGAAATCAGAGAAACATCACCCTTCACAATAGGCACAAATACCATAAAATATCTTGGGGTAACTCTAACCAAACAAATGAAACGCCTATATGACAAGAATGTCAAGTCTTGAAAGAAATTAAAGAAAATATCAGAAAATGAAAAGATCTTACATGCTCTTGGATAGGTAGGAGCAACATAGTAAAAATGGCAATCCTACCAAAAGTAATCTACAGATTCAATACAATCCCCATCAAAATCCTAGCATAATTATTCACAGACTTTGAAAGAGCAATACTGAGCTTCATATGGAAAAACAAAAAACCCAGGATGGCCAAAAATATCCTGTACAACAAAGGATCATCTGGGAGCATCACCATCCTGGACTCCAAGCTCTACTATAGTTCGGTATTGGCATAAAAACAGACAGGTGGACCAATGGAATAGAATCAATGACCCCGATATCAACCCACACACCTATGAACACCTGATTTTTTTTTTACAAAGAATGTAAAAATATAAAGTGGCAAAAAGAAAGCATCTTCAACAAGTGGTGCTGGTATAACCGGCTGTCAACATGTAAAAGAATGCGAATAGATCCATATCTACCACCATGCACAAAACTCAAGTCCAAACTCAAGACCTCAATATAAATCCATCCACACTGAACTTCATATAAGAGAAAGTGGGAAATACATATGAACGCATAGGCACAGAAGACCACTTCCTAAATAGAACACCAGCAGCACAGACTCTGAGAGAACAATTAATAAATGGGACCTCCTGAAACTGAGAAGCTTCTGTAAGGCAAAAGACATGGTCAACAAGACAAAAAGGCTGCCCACAGAATGGGAAAAGATCTTCACCAACCCCACATCTGACAGAGGGCTGAACTCCAATATATACAAAGAACTCAAGAAACTAGACACCAAACTACCAAATAATTCAGTTAAAAAATGGGGTCTAAGCAGACAATTCTCAACAGAATAATCTCAAATGGCAGAAAGACAATTAAGGAAATGCTCAACATTCTTAGTCACCAGGGAAATGCAAATCAAAACCACTCTGAGATTCCATCTTGCACTGATCAGAATGGCTAAAATCAAAAACACCACAGACAGCTTATGCTGGAGAGGATGTGGAGAAACGGGGACACTCCTCCATTGCTGGTGGGAGTACAAACTTGTACAGTCACTGTGGAAATCAGTTGTACAGTCACTGTGGAAATCAGATGTACAGTCACTGTGGAAATCAGTATGGCGATTTCTCAGAAACTTAGGGATCAACCTACCTCAAGACCCTGCAATACCACTAAATGGACAATACCTAGGCAGAGGAGGGGCAGGCAGGGCTGAAGGGCAGAAGAAAAGGGGAGCCAGCCAGCCAGGGGCCCAGCTAGACAGACACAGAGGAAGGAGGAGAGCAGGATGGACAGTGAGGTAAACGAACCTAAGGGCAGCGCATAGATTAATAGGAATGAGTTAATTTAAGTTAAAGCAAAAACAGGTAGAAACAAGACTAAGCTAAAGCTGAGCATTCATGATTAATAATAAGTCTCCTTGTCTTTATTTGGGAGCTGGCTTGTGGCTCAAAGAAAAGTCTAACTATAAGCTTCTCTGATGACGACAGAGCAAGGCACTGATCTAAGAGTATAGTAGAATGTCATTGGGATTCATTTTATTACTAAGCTCCTTTAGTAGAACAATAGTGTTTGGTTTTACCCTAGGACTCTGGGCTATCTAGTCTCAGACTCTTGGTCACCCAAGCAGTACTGGGTATGGGTTCCATCTGGAGGGGGCCTTAAGTCAAATCAGATATCCGTTGGTTACTTCCACAAGTTTGTCCCACCATTGCATTAATGTATCTTGCAGGCAGGACACAGCTGTAGGTGTAGGTCAAAGAGTTTGTAGCTGGACTGTTTATGTTTCTCCGTTGCTGGCATGCAGAGAAATTTCTGGTACCAAGAACATGAACCAGTAGGGCTGGCGACTGTAGGTAGGCACTATCTCAACCTCTCCATGTTTTGTGAGTTGTATAGGTATTGTCTTTAGCAACAGGACCTTGCTATCAGTTTGTGGAGTGCAGCCTACAGCCTTGACAACACCCAGAGAGAGAGGTTTAGGTGTCCCCATTTGGCCAAACAACTCAAAGAGTCCGCGGCAACATGCACAGGGCCTGCACTAGTCTGCACCAGAGGAGCTCCCAGACCTGAAAGGAGAGTGGGCACATGCCCCACCCTAATCCAGATCTGAAAGAAGAGTGGGCACATGCCCCACCCCTAACCCAGAAGCCGTCTCTAACTGATGACTATTTACAAAAGAAAATAGAAAATGGTCTCCAAAGGAGTCTCACTGGGGAACCAAACTACCCTTAAGGCAGTCAACAGTAAATGAATTCAGCATTGTCTTTGGAGGTTTCTTATTTCATAATGTCATGTCAAGGCATTTTCTTTTTTAAGATTTTGGGGGGGGGGTGTTTCAGGACAGGGTTTCTCTATGTAGTTTTAGAGCCTGTCCTGGCACTGGCTCTGTAAACCAAGCTGGCCTTGAACTAGCCTACCTCTGCCTCTGCTTCCCGAGTGCTGGAACTAAAGGTTGGGTCCACTACCACTGCTCTGCTCTTTTTAAAATTTTATCCTTTTTATCTTTTACTTTTTTTCCTCCTGCAGTTATTTGTGATATATATATATGTATATATATATATATATATGTATGTGTGTGTGTGTGTGTGTGTGTGTGTGTGTGTGGGTGGGTGAGTGTGTGTGTGTGTGTGTGTGTGTTATCATTTCTGGTTTTGTTTCTATGAGATTCCTGAGGTGAGTGGACATGTGTGTTTCTGTGTCCATATCTGTTTGTTGAACCTTTTCTTGAGCTCTTCTCCTTCTGTTAGCTTTGTCCTGTTGCAATGTTTTGTTTTATCTTATTACACTGTATTTTTTTATTTATCCCTTAGAAGCCTGTTTGCTTTCTAAGGAGAAACAGAAAGTAGGCAATCCGAATGGGAGGGGAGATAAGGAAGAATTGGAATGGTGGGGGATTATAATTAGAATATTATTATAATTTTTTAAAATCTATTTTCAATAAAGGAAAAATATTTTTTCTAAAGCACATTCTTCCATACTGGGCTTTAAAAGTTTTACTAATGGAGGGCTAACTTGCTATGACTGGAAAGTACTGCTTTAAAGAGAATTAATTTAAGCACAAAATAGAAGCTAAGACCCATAAACTAGATAAAATTCTAGTAAAATGGAACATACCATTAGTAAGAGAATGTTTAATTCTGCTTTTTTTTTTTAAAACAATGGATACCCAGAGGCTGACTGAAGTGAAAACTTTTATCTCAGGACCCATTGGGAAGTCATGTGAGTAGGAACCAGACATTCCTTGTGTATAAATAAAAACCCCTAGTATAAAAGACAGTTGTGGCATGAGAGATGCTCTCTCAGCCTGGACTCTTGGGGGAGAGCCTAGGCCCTGCCCTGGATGAAATGACAGACACTGTAGATCCACCATGGAGGGCCTCACCCTCCCTGGAGAAAGGAGTAGGGATTGGGGGGGGGATGGATGGAGAGTTGGTGGAAGGAGGGGAGGGAGAGGGACCTGGGATTGACATGTGAAGCAACCTCATTTCTAATTTAAATTTAAAAATTAAAAAAAGACAGTTGTGGCTAAAGGTTGGGCCATGGGATGAGACAGGTCTAGCCTAAGCATACTTGCTTCCCTAGGCTTTAGTCTCCTTCTGGGTAAACTAATAATAATATGACCTCACAGAGACTAGATTTGGTATATCCTCCACTTTCCCAAATTCACATACAAAAATGAAATGCACGGTGATGGCATTTGGAGTTGGGGGTGTTTTGAGGAAATCAGGTCATGAAGATAAAGTCCTTATGAGTGGGGTAAGTCCTTCCAGAGCTATTTTGACTCTTCCTCCACAAAATGGTAGAGCAAGAAGAGTCCAATCAAACCAGCGCCCTGACTTTGGACTTCTGGATTCCAGAACCCTTAGAAATAAGTATTTCTGGTTGAAGACACTTGGTGTGGGGTCACTTATAAGCTCAAATGGGCCAAGACTACCTGATGTATTAGGGTCACCTGAGAGTCAACATCTAAAGATAAGTACCTATATTAGGAATAACATAAGGAGGTGCTCATGCCACTGTTCGGGGGGCAGATGAGTTGTAATTGTGTGGTGTGGCTACCAGTTCAGATCTGAACTCATGTTGCTATCTTGAGTTTGCAGCACAGGGTGGGTAGAAGACTGCAGGGTTTTCTCGGGACTTCTGGGGAGTGGGGTGAGTACTCTGAGGGTTTCCATGCTGCAGGTCTCTTCATCCCTTAATTCTGGGACACCTGAAGCAAAAAAAAAAAGAACACCCAGAGGACTCACCAAGTATCAGTACGTGGATTCCAGGGTTCTTAAGCGGGCTGCCGGAGCCTAGCACAGTGTGCAGCTGACAGCTCGGTGAGGAAGGGATGGAGAAGACAGTGTGGGCAGGCATTAAACATGTTTAAAATGCAGGGAGTGCTGGAACATACGCAGGGGTCAGGACAGCACATCCACACACCAGACTGTTCATCCCTGTGCAGACAAGGCATGCTGAAGGACTACTTCATTTTGCAAGGGAATCTTTGTGCGACTGACAAGTTTAAACAGATGCTTAACTTTTTAACAGCGAATGTACTCATATTAAATCATCGCTGAACGATGATCACGGCACATGAGAGGACAGGTGTGCTGGGGCTGGAAGGAAAAAAACGGCAGGAAGGAAGATTAGGATCAACAGGACGCAGGAAGCTGACCCTCTGGGTAAGGGGAGAATCAGTGGCTTTACACACTGCGCAGCCTTAACTCCACTCCCCCACATCCGCTCGCCATCGTATTGTTACCATCTCTCACGTTTGACCCCTTGACACAAATCGTGAGACAAGATGACCTGTGCACGTGGGTAGATTTATTTAACAGGAAGCTGAAAGACAGCACCTTAGTCAGACATGACACTCCAGCTTGCCTACACGTCACACACGCTAAAATGCAGAACGGGACATTCTTTAGATGGCGGCTGTAAGTCAGTTTCTGGACAGGACGAGGCTTCTGAAAAGCTGGTAGGGAGATGAAAGTTGAGCTTTTGGAGAGAGTGCGGTGCGGTGCGCGAGGTGGTTTTACAGGAAGTGTGTGTACGGTGACTCCCCAGTGCTTGACCCAACCTTTCTGAATGGTCAATGCAGCAAGACAGGCAGGTTCTAAGTGCTCTGGATGATTTCCATTTGAAGAGCAGCAGGCTAAACAACGGCAACGGTCTCTGAACATCGAGTGTTCCTCATTACAGCTCGTATGCTCAACTGCAGGACAGAAAGCAAGTACTCAGATGTACTTTATTTGCAGGTAAGTCTTGCCTTCTCCGACGGCCCGTTTCTGTGCCTGTGATTATTTTTCTCTAAAGGTCACTTCTCATTCACATGTTCCCTGTTCTTTGTTCCCTAGAACCTAGATCTCTTCTTAAGGGGAGTTTATTTTCCTTTGTGTACAATCACTGGGGAGCCATAAAGGGAACAGACACGGTTTTGCGTGTGTGTGTGTGTGTGTGTGTGTGTGTGTGTGTTTTGAACAAAACCATTTTCCGCAGGCATGCCCGTTTAACTACAGACAAGAAATGAACAGGAAATCAAGGTGTTGGGGGGGCCTTGCTTGAGAGCCCCTACTCTAGGGATGTGCAACCCTGCCACTGTGCAAATGGAGATACATTCACGTGAGTCCTGCAGCTATCTGCTGGGCGAAGGATGCCCATGCTGGCCGCTGTTGACAGCTTTTACTCCTCGGACAGCTGTGGCCCTGCGGGAGCATCCTGTGTGCTGGCCAGCCCAGTTTCACCTCCAGGCTCGCGCTCTCCTTCCACAGAATCAGCAGGAGTGGAAGTTTCTTGGGAGATGCCCACTTTAGGCTCTGGTTGACCTCCATTAACATGGTTAGAGTTGGCATCAAGCTTTCCATCTAATAAAAAGAAAAATGCATTCATTGCTATTCTGTGCCACACAGTCTGGCAATGTTATTCTGTTAATCAGGGTCTCTACATGGGCAGAGTATTACTTTATTATAATCGTCACCATTGCACCCAACAGTAGTGACCGATTACTTTATTATAAACGCACCCGTCAGTAATGACCCCGAGAAGAGGGGTTGAGCACTTGTTCTAAGCTTCATGGTGGTAACAACAGCAGTGGCTTCACAGAATCCAAGCCCATGGCTCTAAGTCCACAACTCTGCATGAGCGTTGTTTGGGGTCGACAAAAATCTGCATGTAATTAACTTGATGGCCTTGAGAAAGTAACTGCCTGGATATAGTTAATGTTTATTGATAAAAGCCTACCCATTTTCTGTCCTCCACACAGTATAAAAATGCTTAGTCTGCTCAATGGTGGCACAGGCCTTTAAACCCAGAACTCAGGAGGCAGAGGAAGGTGGATCTCTGTGAGTTCCAGGCCAGCCGGATCTACAGAGTGAGTTCCAAGACAACCAAGGCGACACAGAGAAATCCTGTTTGGAAAACCTTAAAAAGAAAAAGTTTGATTCACAGCAAAAAAAGGCAAAATAGGAAGGCTAACTAGTTTCTCAGTGCCAAATGTTTCTTTTTAAAAATAACTTTGTACAATATTTCAGTTATGCCAAATCATAAAAGAGACACACTTCATGAGTAGACACAAAAGTGGCTAGGAACAGTCGACTGTACATAGCAAATGTTTTCTAGCGATACAACACACTTCCAAAAAGGCAGGATATATTCCCTCCCAGGGCTGGGCAGGTCCCTGGAAAATGAGAATCACAGTAGAAGCAAGTCACAGTTGCAGAGGAAAAGCAGTTACTTAACTCTCCTGAGAGGAAAGGAAAATGAGTAAGTAACCCATTGCTCTCATGCTTGCGGAGTGGAGTGTGGACATCAGACCTACAGCTTGGCCTTTAATTATGAATAAAGTATAATTTCATAATATTGAACTGCAATTAAAAGTATACAGGCAGCTGGGCGTTGGTGGCGCACGCCTTTAATCCCAGCACTCGGGAGGCAGAGGCAGGCGGATCTCTGTGAGTTCGAGGTCAGGCTGGACCGACAGCCTGCAAAACAGAGAAACCCTGTCTCATAAAACCAAAAAAAAAAAAAAGTATAAAGGCTTCTAACTTTAAAGCATTCTAGTAGCCATCGGGGGACATTCCAGGTCTACTCAATGACCATAAAATCCTCCACAAGTGACCCATGAAGACTCCCATCATTCCAGGGCAGGCAGTCAAATGTGCAGTAACTGTATCATAGATCGCTGCTTGCCAGTGACATCTCAGCTAGCTGAGTTCCATGTAGCGTCCCAAAGCTGGTTACCCCTAAAGGTGACCCAATTCCTTTGTACCCAGTGCCACTGAGCCTTTCTTTCTCTCGCAAAGGGACCGCAATAACTCAACGGATTTGTACATACTCTTTTCCTCCTGGCTCATATGTTTGGCAGCTTCAGACTGTTGCTTCTCATAAACGTCTTTCAGACTCTTACACATCTTCTTATGTGCAAACCAGTGTGTCTTCTGGCAGGTCTGGTCACAATATATTACCTGAAATCAATTACAAATTGGTTTTCATTTTAATGATTAGAATTGCAGCAAACATTAAACCAAGAACTATTCTATGGTCTTTCCCATACTTCAAAAAACAAAACAAAACTACTACGTGTGCTTGTATATAATACAACTGTGTGTTGGTCCAAGGGCCCACAAAAGACTTTAGTAACAGGCGTATTAAGAACCTGCGGCCCCAGCATTTGGGAGGTAGAGGTAGGAGGTCAGGAATTCAAGGGTGGTCTCAAAAGAAAACAAAACTGAAAAGCTCAAAAGAATCCTTTTGCATTTCTGGTTGCCCGCTTGTTCTAGTACAGTCCTGGGAATATGTTCAGATGTCAACTGCCCCAGCTGAAGGCAGCCTGCCACAGATGTGAAGTGTGCTATGGACTTAAGCATTGCTTTTAGAGGGCTTTCCTATGTGAGGTAGTTCTTACACCCTAAGCCCTGTTTCCCACAGAAGGAAACAAGCCAAGGATGCAATTTAAGCAGGTAGAGCTGCAGAAGCAGATGCTGAGGTCTCAAAATAAGTTGGAGAACTTCAACCTTGAAACCAACAGATTAACGCTACCTGCGGGATCCAGTCGGTACCAGACACGTACATGTGTGCTGGATCAGGATGTGAGAAGAACATATCAGATGTGTACAAAGAACTCTAGAAAATGGGAGAGTGGAGTTCTTGGGATTGTCATTTGTTGGCAGAAGGGCACTAGACTAAAGGGAAGAGATGATGGAGGACGGAGAAATGGAATGTCACCCATTTGTGAACTGTCCCAGTCTGGGCTTTCCTATCCACGTCCCAGTGCTCTCTGACCTACTCTCTCTCCTCCATCCTCTCATCTCTTCTTTACTATGTGGTAGTGAACCCAGAAACGAAGACTCACAGGAAGGTCTCTTCCTGAGCTGATGTTGAAGATTTAGATGCTATGTTCACTTATTAGCATTCATTCTAAAACTGCTACACTTAGGCGATGCTAGATCTCAGTTGTCAGCTTGGAGCAATCTTCCCTCCACATCAGTGGAGTCAGAATTTCACTCTTACCATTTTGCAAACCGAGCATCTTTTACTTGCTCCTTTTTCTCCACAGGTGGTGCAAAACTCAACATCCACAAACCCCACTTGTCCTGTGATGGCTTGGGTAAGCACAGAGAATGCAGTTGGATCCGATCCCTAGGAGGGTGAAGAGGAGAAAATAGCCACTGAAATCCCCATGGAAGACCGCAGAGATATCACTGACACATGGTGTTGACTAGAAACAGTAGCAGGGAAGAAACCACTAATGTTCACGATAACTCAGACTCTATTATAAAGAATCATCCTTTCGACTGTACCTTCTTCTACACAAGTTATATAACAAGTAAGGTACGACCTCCATAAATGAGAAAATACAAGCATTGACAGTTAATATTATCCAGGAGATTCATGCTAACATTAGAAACAGAACAGTGAATTGCAGATTTTTTTTTCTGAGAACTGACATTAAGTCAATATCGATACCCTATGGAATAAACACAGAGCCCTCCCTAATGTCTATCTCAACTCCTAAAGCATTGTAATATACTTTTAAATGTTCTAACCTCTTTAATAAACATACATGTAACTGCATCAGATTTTTATAAAACATGTAAAATTTATTGTTATGGGACTGCTAAAAAAACAGGTTGTAAAAAATGTATACAAGACTTTAGGGAGAAAATGATAAAGATATATATTTATCTACCTGAAGCAAAACTACTGAAACCTTTCTAAGATAAGCAAATGTAACAAGATGTTCAACTGATCTTGTTTGCTATCTGTTCAATGTTCTGGATTTTTAAATTTTGCACATTTATCCCCAAGTAAAGCTTTACCACTTTCCCAAATTCTCATCTGAGTCTTTGCCTCTTCCTTAAGAACAACATTCCTTACTCTCTTGTATACTGAAGAAAGTCTAAGAAAATAGTCAGCAGATTCAAGAATTTTTAAAGCCGCTTTCCAAACTGTCACGTTCCCAAATGCAAGAAACTTTCCATGTGGAAGGGCCAAGGGTTTTCTTTTGCAATAAATGAAGTACTAAGGAAAAGTTGGGCAAAATGAGCCTAAGTTGATTTCATATTTTATGAGGATTTAAGGCACACGGCCATTGTCCTCAAATATTGGCAGGCGCCCTGCTTGCTAAAATTGGAGGTCTACCCACTTAGTTCATACTCTCTCAATCAGAATTCCTGAGGCTGTGATCCAGGAGCCTACATTATTAATACCCCTGGTAATACTAATATATACTAAAAGTGTCAAATTGTGGGCTTAATATTATACTGAATCTTTATAAATCTATGTATTCTTGCTGCATAGGCAGATCCTGCCAGTGGTGGTGGCGGGGCACAGATAAGATATGCAAAAGGAGTCTTGTATCAGAAGGTAGTTCTGGCGCATCAATGGACAGGGCATGGTATATTCAATGGACATCACAACCATGACATTTTCATGTTTCAGTATCTCTTTACAAAACTGAGACATGTTCATTGTGAAGACGAGAGCTTTGTGGGAGCCACTCAACAGGTGCACCCTGCCGACTGCAGCTGAGGATCAAACGCATTATATTCTGCTGAAAGTATGGCTGCGTGTTAACTACCACTAGAGCACAGCATACATGCGAACTACTGCTAGAGCTCAGTGTACATGTGAACTACCACTAGAGACAGTGTACATGTGAACTACCACTAGAGACAGTGTACATGTGAACTACCGCTAGAGACAGTGTACATGTGAACTACTTCTAGAGCACAGCGTACATGTGAACTACCACTAGAGACAGTGTACATGTGAACTACCACTAGAGACAGTGTACATGTGAACTACTTCTAGAGCACAGCGTACATGCGAACTACCGCTAGAGCTCAGTGTACATGTGAACTACTTCTAGAGCACAGCGTACATGTGAACTACCACTAGAGACAGTGTACATGTGAACTACCACTAGAGACAATGTACATGTGAACTACCGCTAGAGACAGTATACATGTGAACTACCACTAGAGACAGTGTACATGTGAACTACCACTAGAGACAATGTACATGTGAACTACCGCTAGAGACAGTGTACATGTGAACTACTTCTAGAGCACAGCGTACATGTGAACTACCGCTAGAGCTCAGTGTGCGTGTGAACAACTGTACAGTGTACATGTGAACTACCACTAGAGACAGTGCACATGTGAACTACCACTTCAGAAAAAGTCATCACAGCACAGAAGAGCAAGCACAGAGCTTTGCTGCCACTGTCGTGTGACAAGAACTCTCTTGCTAAGTGAATCTTGCCGTCTGCACTGCTAATCAGCCTGGAAACAAGCAGGGTGCTTTGATTCAGATGCCACTCTGAGGGAGTCGGCTGTGCTGAAGCAGCCTGGCCTTACAGAAGGCTGGGCTCAGAGCAAGGCTACTTGGAGCGGGCCCCGATGGAGTTAGGCTGCTGCAGTCTACCTCTGGGCATGCGGAGGCTGACGCCAGCAAATACTCTTCGCCGTGCAGCCCGTCAGGCCTTCAACCACTAGTGACCTGTGCCGCACTACCTGGATAGACACTCCCGATAATAACTCACCATACTTGCTCCTCAGCTGAATAATACGGCGTCTGCTTGACCTAATCCCTGGTAGCTAAAACAACAGGCCCGCCTACTAGGCCCAGCTTGGAATATATAACTCTTACAGGAGAACAATCTTTGAAAGAGATCTTTCTAAATGACATTTAACACCGTGATCTCAACTTCATTACTAACCTTTCCTGACGAAGTAAATGGCCAGAGAAAATGTTTAGCATCATGCTGTATAAGTTGTAATAACCCTTCTTTGTGGGGCCAACGTGAAATGCTGACATGCCCCGACTCAAAAAAAAAAAAAAAAAAGAAAGAAGAAAGAAAGAAGGAAAGGAAAGACAAAAAGAAGGAAAGGAAAGACAGAAAGAAGGAAAGGAAGAAAATTCTCTAACTTATTTGTATGTGTGGGTGCGTGTCAAGGTTGCACACGTGGAGGTCAGAGGAGAGACAGTGGAAGCCTGTCCATTTGTCACAGACCACACATAACTGACTTGTCACCACCTCCATGCGTGGCAGGCATGAACCAGTTTCCTGGAACTAAAAGCACAAATTTTACCTCATCTCTCCATGTGGGTCTCTGTGATCAAAATCGAATTTTCAGGCCTGGTGGTGGGTGCCTTTACCTTCTGAGCCTTCTTGCTGGCCCCATAAACAGACAGCTGATACTTTGAAAAGCATGGTTTGAGTGTGTGTGTGTGTGTGTGTGTGTGTGTGTGTGTGTGCACGCGCGCGTCATGGCATACCCGTGGAGATTGGGGACAACTTAAGAGAGCTCATTCTTTCCTTCCACCAATGGACTCAAGGACTGAACTCAGGTCATCAGCTTCTACCTCTGAGGCATTGAGGTATTGAACACCCGGAATTGCTGGGTTTGCAGTTCTGATATCTCTCATGGAGGAGATACAATACCAGTCACCACTCACCAGTGCTGGGGACTCTGTAACAGCCACTGCTAGTCACTCCTCTGACATAACCGTCCAAACTTCTCACCAACAGAGAGTAACTTAGTTTGCAGCAGCAGGATATACATAAGTCACAACCTTTATTCCACCAGACACATGTGCAACCCAGAGTGGTCATGTGACCCAGATTTAAGTGGAGAGTGTGTGGGGAGCATCTTCCCCTCAGGGGTAGACTCTTGGTTCTTTCTGCCTGCCTGAGGGGGAATGTGTCCCGCAGGAAGTGTCTGACGCCTTGCAAGTCTGTGCCCACAAACAGGCACATGTGAGCCTGCGTGGGTGAGGAGGATGGGGCAGAAAGATTGGCGAGTGGGAGGATCCCCTAGTTCATTCCTGAGCCATCGGGCCAGCCCTGGTCTGCCAGCTTTGATTATTTGAGTGTACGTGAAGACATAAACCCTTAAGTTTAAGTGTTGGCTGGAGCTTACTGTGCTCATTCACAATAATTCACCTTCACAGTCTGCTACCTAATCTTCTCAAAGCCCAAACAGCCAACAGCCAGCTGCGTGAAAACTTCGTGAAAGGACCGGGAGTTTGGCCTGGACAAACTACGGTCCAAGTTCCATCGTTCTGCCTGGAGGAACTGGAACCACTTCTATCATGATTTTCTACACTGAGGATGGCAACACAGACTACAGCAGGGACAGAGAAGTGAACCCAATTGCCAGAGGGACAGAGGAAGCCATGCGGTCGGGACTACATCAGGCTAAAGGCCAATTCAGGGTTTGATTGATACGCCTGGAAAAGGGTGACTCGGCCCGGCTAAGGTGACCAGCAAACTATTCAAAACAAGGAAAGCATGAAGTGTCTTGTGAAACAGTACTTAAGCGTGACAGAAAGACTGTAGGTGATTTAAGAAAACAACAGTGACGTTTGCGTCCTGCAGCTAGGATATACAGATTTTGTTTTTTGTTTTTTAAGTATGGAACATTCCTAACTAGTGGCACTAGGGTTGCACAGAAGAATCAGGGACACTTTGAGACTGTTCTCTGGAACCACAGCTGGCCGTGTTTTAGCTCATCCAGCCTGAACTCTGGAACCTTACATGATCATCTATCTAGTCTAGAAATTTCCACTGGTAACTTACATGTGTGTGTGTCTATCCCTCTGCAGATGGGGATCCAACCAGTACAGCATTCACAGAGGTTTAAAATCTGTTTCCTTGACAACTACCTATTTTCCCATGTAGGGAAACATTGCCAACTTATTTCCAGTTTTGCTCCTAAAATTTTCTGGGAGCAATAAAAACGAACAGTAGGGAGAATGAGTCCTTAAGACGCGACAGGCGGTGGCTGGGTCTTACTGGACAGTTAATGCAGGAGGAGCCTTACGATTTCCACTGGAGCAATGGTTCGCACCAGCTGCTGGAGGAGGGTGGCTTCACAGTACGGAAATTTCCTGATGCTTTCCCTGATGAACTTTTCCTGGTACACTGGGAAGCCGTCAGACGCTCGGCCTTTCAACAAGCTGAAAGACATTTTACAAACAGGTCAAGTGGAGTCATCAAAGCAATTCCCTCCCAGGAGGACCCCCGCCCCCAACGCTTTCAGCAGTTTCCTGTTCAAACTGTCAGTGTCTCCCCAAATCTCAGTCTAGACTGTCATTCAGACTGAATAGTAGGCCTGGCCACGATTCTAAGATCTGACTACGGCAAGCAAAGGTGACACATGCGTCAAAGGACTGAGCACTGTCCTCGGGCTGGGCAGCTACTCAGACCCAGTCAGCTGTCTGTAGGAAGAATGAAAACCCTCAGCCAGCCACGCCCTCATGACTCAGTTCCTTTCCTCAGTAAAGCTACACTTCAGTTAGATCCCTACGGTCAGAGGGCGAAGGTCGCGCTCAGCCCTGCCAGGCGTGGTGACAGACACAGGAAGTGCCAGCGCAGCAGCCTATGAAGCGGTAAGCTTAGCCTCATCACCTGGACCATGTTCCTCGAGAGTAAATCAACAGTAACAGCAACCGCATCGCCACAACTCTGTCTGACAAAACTCTGCCTGAGTCTGGTATGGCCCCTTGTACCTGGGAGGCTAAATGTGACTCCCGCAGCGTCAGTTTTTACACCAGGAGGCCTGCCGAGCAGCTTTCACCTGGCGCGGCAGACGCGGTACCTTTTGATCAGGGTGTCCAGCTTGTTCTCGCCTTCCTTGAGGAAGGAAATGCATTTCTGAAAGATGCAGCTGAGGTAGTGCATTTTCACAGCCAGCACTTCATTCATGTCTCTCTGCTTCATGCACTTCTCGCAGATCAAATCCATCACCCTGTAGCATTTGCCGAGAGCGGCTGCTTCCGCCAGAAGAGGGTTCTCACTCACGAGCATCACAACCTAGAAAAAAAAGAGACGGAACGCTGAAACCCCACGAAAGATGTCTCCGCGTACAGAGAGGCATCGGGGCGGCTGAGGCTGAGACTGACCGGGATCTTCTCAGAATCACAGTTACCGCACGACTCCAATCGGAGGGCAAATTGCTACTACTCTACGTCATGAAGCGAAGCGAATATGGTATTAGGAAATCTCCTGGCACGAAAACTGAAATGTGGTCTGTCCTCTAACCATGCCTACCAGAGCACAGTGCAGAACCGTGTCTGAAAAGAGCTTTATAAAATGGTAAGTGTGCCTGCACAGCCGCTCATTACACACACGAGAAAGCAACGCCTTAGTTAACATCACTAAACTCAATAATCTTGAGCTGGCTCTTTGGAACCTATTCCCATCCTGGGATGCCACACCCAGCCTTGATGCAGGGGGAGGAGCTTGGTCCTGCCTCAACTTGGTATGCCACGCTTTCTTGACTCCCACAGGAGGCCTGTCCCTTTCTGAACAGAGGAGTCGATGGGCAAGGTAGAGGAGAGTTTGGGGGAGAGAATGGGAAGAGAGGAGAGAGGGGAAGCTGTGGTTGGTATGGAAAAATAAATGAAAATTTTAATAATAAAAATTTCCCACAGGCAAATCACAACTTAAGAATGACCCTGAATTCCTGATCCCCACCCCCCACCCCCACCCCCCCCACCCTCCGCCTCCACAGCCCAAGTGCTGGGGTTACAGATGTGCACCGCCATGCTCGGTTTATGACGCACTGGGAATTGAACCCTGGGCTTCCTGAACACTAAGCACATGTTCTATTATTAAGCTACATCCCCAGTCCTCCAATAGTCACAAGGAAATCAGACCTGTACAGAAAGAAGTCTAGAATTAACTACATTTCTTTGTGGAAACTTCCCTTAAGAGAAATCCAATCCTCTGCAAAATGCAATTATATTAAAATGGAAACCAGAAACAGTTTTGAGAGGGAAAGAGCAGAAAGTTATACAGTCTTGCACATTATGAGTTTTACGTTTCCTATTTATGCACTAATTAAGCCCAAATGTAATGTAATCAGAAGTGCTTTAACGAGCTTTGCTACACTGTCTATTACTTGAAGTTAGTCTGCAGGAGACCATCTAAAGATGGCTGATGACCCACTAAGAATGAAAGCGTGTGCGATGTGGCCAGAGTGTGCGCAGTAGTCAGTACGTGCTAACCTACGTGTTTCAGCTCAACCCCTGTGCCAGGGAGGAGACTTTGTGGATTCGCTTCAGACATGAAGGAAACTCATCTGTGAATTGACACGGTAGCCATGTGTGGCTTTCCTGCAAATTTAACATAGAGTTAAGGTCAATGAGAAATTACTTTTGGCACTAATCAACATATATATATATATATATATATGTATACATATAAGAAAATATCAAGTATTTTCTTAAGATCCAGCACGTTAAAATAAATTACCAGACTTCATGAAGTGAATGAAATTGAATCCTTATTAGCAAACTGGCTGAATATCCTCCCTACCAAGCAAACATAAAATGTTAATCTGTGGTGGCAGGAGAGACGGATGTCTCAGTGTTTAAGAACACTGGCTGCTTGCTCTCCCAGCACAGAGGGTGGTGCGCAGAGGGACATATATATACATATTAAAAAAATTTAAGAACTAATTTGTAGAAAAAATAATTTGTAATGTACAGGACTCATTAATTACCCATTTATACTTCTGCGAATTATGACCATTTAAAAGTGTTCAATATTTCACATGTGGTGTAAATAATGAGTAGAGACTTACAAGCAAAACTCTTTTTAAAACTCTAAAACAGCCTATACTAATGACTTTTTTTTAAAGATTGAGTCACTAGGCTTTATTCATTTTACAGAGCAGAGCTAAGGTTTACGAGGGCTAAGATCGATACCTACAGAATTACTGAAACATGTGCATGCTGCTCACGGCAGCATTGGGAAAAGGGGCAAAGGAAACCTTCAGTACGCACTTCCAAGGGAGGAGTATTAACCCTTTAGCACATAGTCAAAATGAGTCTTATTCCTGCAAGGGTGACTAGCGCAGAACACGCCCCCGCAGTAGCGTCTTTAATTCTTTTCGCATTGCCCACTATTGTTTAAACCGGCAAGTCAACGGTCGTGGGCTTGAAAAGCACCTGAACAGTGAAAGGCTGGACTGCGAGTCAGACGTGCCTGCCTGCTCGTCCCTCGGAGGCCCTCCTCAGTGTCATGGTGATTTTCCCTGAGAGTTTGGATTTCTCCTAGATAACCATTATTGCCTGGGCATCAGCACAACTCCCTGAAGTCCTTGTGAGGACAAACACATTGCCACAGCAGTCATGTGACCTAGATGCGAGCACAGCCGTTTTAGGCACAAAGGCAACGGAAAGGTGAGCTGCGGATGGGGAGAGCAGCTCTGTGTTGTTGTTTTTAAAGCCTTGGCTTCAGACAGGGTTGCTCTCCTCTTTTGTCACCCTCTAAAGATGCGTGCCGGCTTGGGATGGGTGGAACAGTAAAGTAGGCCAGCACGACGAGAGCCATGGGGCGCCTTTTGTATCCAAGCTGGGGGCTGGAGGCAGAGGCTCAGGTGAAGGGGCTGCCTATTGCTACGGAGAGCAAGGCTGGGTCTGGAGACACAAGCACAGGGCCACGTCTCTATAAAAACTCACTCATGCCCACCGCCTCCCACCGCACGCCTGCGTACTGCCTGCGTAAGTAGGGACAAATGCTAGTTTACTCATAATGTGTACATCTGCAAAAGTAACTGAAGAGAGACAATTTGAAGACATTTAGCAGAAACAGTGGGGGGGGTCGTGCAAATGTCAAGAAATGATTCCAAAACCTCCCTGCAATCTGAAGGCAAAGATTGGTATGGGAGTCAGAGAGAGGAAGGACACGGGTGTGGGACTCAGAGAAAGGAAGGACATGGGTGTGGGACTCAGAGAGAAAGCAGGGGACTTCACTCCAAAGTGGAGCAGGCTGTGACAACCTGAGCCTTACAGGACCACATACACTCCCTGCATGAAGCCTGGTCCCCTAGCCCAACTGCTCTGCGCCTAAAAGTCCACGGTAAAGGAGCTTCTCATACTCATGGGTGAGCTCAAGGACTGCTGAACTGCCCCCAAGAGAACAGAGGAGTCTACAGGTGAACTCTCAGCCTCGTCTTCAGATTTCTGATGTAGCTTCTGTTCTTTAAAAAAAAACAAAAATGGCCAGTGGTGGTGGCAGCGCACGCCTTTAATCCCAGCACTCTGGATCAGAGGCAGGCGGATCTCTCTGAGGCTGAGGCCAGCCTGGTCTACAGAATTTCAGAACCGTCAAGGCCACGCAGAGAAACCCTGTCTTGAAAAGCAAACAGACAAAAAGAGAAGACGGCAGGAAAAGCAGCTCAGAGCGGCTTTTGAAACCCATACTGAACAACCTGAACTCTGGTGCCCAAGCTGACATGTGTCTGATTCTACTGACAGCACGATCAACGGCATCACATAGTCACCTGCGTGGAAAAGGTGCTCATGTTTAATGGATTGGTTAGTTACACTCGTGAGCATTCCCACAAGGATAAGAACTGCCATACAAGTCAATGGTGAGCGCCTAGATGCATGTTACCAGGCCTGCCCAACTCAGCATGGGCTAAGGGCACAGCACAGTCTCCTCCGGGACAGGTCCAGGCCGGTGACATACTAAAGGATACTAAACGATTCCCACTCTCTCAGGGCTGGAGCCAGGCTGTCTGCTGCGATGCCTGGGGGTAAGGCCAAGGAGAGAGAGGCTACCACTTCCCCTCCTGGCCTTTTGCCATGCTTCTCTTGGTTTCCCTCACCGGCTCCTGACGTTCACTGAATGCACTCCAGCGATGACTCAGGCAGACAGGGGAGCTTGCAGCAAACCCCTCCTCTGCAGGACTCTGCCTAGACAATTACGACCCCAGGGAGTGAGAACGGTTTGGACACTGGGGGTTGCTGGTCTGGAAGGCAGATACAACAGGCCCGGGGCTACCTTGACGGGGTGGAGATTCGTTGTGGTGATGATTTTGTGCAGGGGTCCCGCCAACTTCGGAGGCAGTTTTGGCTCTTTATCCAATCCCTGGGGTTTAGTGTAATAATCCAGTCTCTCTCGAGGGAAGAAATTGTTGATTATAGCCACACAATCATGCTGACCTTTAAATAGAAAAACAGAAAAGTTGTTATTTTAACATTAAACACAAGAGTCTGCCTCGTTTTTTATGACATGACTGCTTGCTTTTGGAGTAAACAGTAGAGAAGGAGAGGAAAACATTTCAGAGAACATTTGCAAGCATGTTAAAGTAGAGAGATAGACTACCAAAAAAAAAGTACTCAACTTAAAACCAACCCTAAAATTATTTTATAAAAACTATAATTCAAATATCTCTTCTTCCATCCTGACAACAATGATACTCAGGCTTCCCCCAGTGACATACAGGCACATTTATGTGTAATTTAAATATATTCTATGCAAGGTATCTGTCATAAACATTAATATCAGGTAATCCATGAACCCCAAGAGTTGGAGAGAAGTTTGGCTTTTTTGTGAAATGAAGTATAGAAATCTTTTGCTTCCATGAGCTCGGAATCAACACTACAGCCCCTCACGTCCTTGAGTCATTTGTTGGGTTAAATAGAGTTCTACTACTACGACACAGTCTCCCCACGAAAGCTGGTGGCCTGCTCCTGCTCTCCTCCACCCACAGCTCCCTCTCCATTAGCTCTCCAGAGCCGGGAAGTGGCCACTCCGGGCAAGCAGGCAGAACGAACGGGCAGGGCGCATCCCTGAGGGGCAGCTCTGCCCTCCTCTCCTCTGCCTGTCGAGGGCTAATGGACCTGCAGGCAGCCCGTCCTGGAGAGAGTGGTCCACGCTGGTTTGCCTGCCTGGCTCCTGTTCCCGTGGACAAAGTTCTGGGAGTGGCCATGATCCTGCCTGATGCTGACTGCAGGGGGATGGCACTACTGGCCATCTGGCCCCCACACCTGTGCCGGCAGGTGCTGGACCTGTCACTCAGCATTCCTGAGGAACTGAATAGAAGGACTCCTGCTAGGGTCTAGGTGGCTGTGGACCGCGCTCCCACAGGCAAAGACACTGAAGCCCTTTGTGCCTCTGGTCCACAACCCCGGAGGCTTTACCCCGGTGCCCAAGAAATGCTTGCGAAGAACGACTATGCAGTGCCCTGGCAGACAGCTTCTGGTGTCTGAGCTCCGCTGCCACCACAACCACGGATCTCAAACAACCACCCAAGAGGCTTTCAAGAGCCACAGGGAAGCTCAAATTTTAACAGTTAATAATTTGCTTCTGTGAATTACATTTGTAGTAGCAAATCTACTCAGCGAGGCATGGGAGAAATCTAACACTGGAAAGGATAAAGTCAGAGTGGAAACAGAAGGATACAACATATAAAACAAAGCGATAGAAGAAAACACCCCTGGATTTGAAAAAAGAATTCAGTACTGACAACAGCATCGTTTTGTATGTGCGTTACTAGTAAATGCGGAACCATCCTGGATTTGAAAAAAGAATTCAGTACTGACAACAGCATTGTTTTGTATGTGCGTTACTAGTAAATGCGGAACCATCAGTGCGGTTCTGTTTCTGGGGGAAAATGAGAAGTAGCGTCCCCTTGTCCTCTCCTTCATTTTCTCCTCCTTGATGCCTTCTTTCTGCCTATTAGATATTTCTATTTATATCCAGAGAAGTCAACCACAAATTAAAGATCTGAAATCAGCCAAGGTGCTATGCTTAGAAAATGGTTATTTACTTCCAGAATCTTCCAGGAGAAACTCAGCATTCAATTGGGCAAATCTCCTAATGCAATCAGGTTATAAGTGTCACGGCATCAACGTTGATACAGGTGACTGTATGACCTGGCAGTGACACATAAAGAAACAAAAAGGGCTCAGGGCGACTGCACTGTTTCTTTACACGTAACTGTATCAGGGCTCCATAAGACACAGACTCTTGTGCCTAAAACAATGTTCAAATATCTTAGCAAACTGCTGCGGCTGCTGCTATTCTCCACGGACATCTGGACCTAGATTCTTCAGTCCTTCAACACAGGTGGATTTCTAAGAACCCTCCTCACCTTTGGCACCAAATTGGAGCTGCTGAGGCACTCAGCCCAGCAGGCTAATCAACTACCATGTTCTTAGCCTTTCCAGTATGAAGACAGACATATTGGACAACCCAGACCATACTGTGTGAGCCAATGCAATAAATCTCCCTTTAATATATATTCCTTCTATTGCTACTGCTTCTTTAGAGAATCCAGAGTAGTACACTGTAGAACTGTGGGTGGCCTTGAACTCACAGCGGTCTTACTGTTTTCTGATAGTTAACTATTAGGATTGCATACATGAGCCACCATACCTAGCTTAAAAGAATTACTAGGAAGAAATATTTTTCTTTATGGAAGCATTTAACTTTTAGAAGAGTAGATTTTTCTTATTCACAAATTGTTTTGCTGTATTATTTTTTTTTAATTTTATTTTCCAGTTTAAATTTAGATAAGAAACAAGGTTGCTTCACAAGTCAGTTCCAGGTCCCTCTCCCATTCCCTCCCTCCCTCCCGAGTCCTCCCCCACTCCCCCCCCCGTTATCCCCTCATTTCCCCAGGGAGGGTGAGGCCCTCCATGGGGGTGTGCATAGTCTGTCATTGCTGTATTATTTTTAATAATTGTTTGGCCTCTTTGTTAGTGTCTCCAAATAAATGCTCTCAATTGGAATAACAACAACAAAAAAATCATCTCAGCAAAAGTATAAAGCCAGATATGCCAAGACTAGGGCATAAATGATCAGAAGAAAGTAACTATTATTTCCAGCAGTCCCTGAAATGTGAATTTCCATTATAACCTGACTGGTTTAGAGTCACCTAGAGACACTTCTGGGTGTGTTGGTGAGAGAGGTTTAAGTGAAGACCTGGGCCTACTCTACTGAACCATCCCAACAGGGAGTCCCAGAGTAAATAACAAGAGAGACAAAGGGTGCTAAGTCCCAGATTCCATCACTTTTGGGACTGCAGACAAAGTGTGACTGTCATCCCCATACTCCTACCTCCATGACTTCCCTGCCACGAGGAGCTGTATCTCCTCAAACCGTTAGCCACAACACCCCCCCACCCTGCTTCCATAAATTGTTTTGGTATTTTGTCATAGGAAAGAAAAAAGTGACTAATCCAGCCAGCCCCTAACTGGACAGTTGGGAAAAGGCAGTTGGCAACTGTACATTTCATACATCAAATATCTGCTACCTAACAATGACCCTGTCAGAGAACAAGTTGAATCTAACTCACTTGCTAATAATTTATTAGACTGGCATACGTGTAAAGTTTATCTTTGTAAATTTAACTTTACTTGATTGTTCAAAATGCTGTATAAAATTATAAAAAGGTCTTTATTTTGATTTAAGAATTCTGATTAGAGATACAACTACTGAGTATATTACTGAGAAGAAATACTATCCTGAGGGGATACAATTGTTACTGATTGAGTTAAAATGTCTCCCACAGGCTCATGTGTTTCAACACTTGATTGTCAGCTTGGGGAGGCCGTGGAACCTCTGGGACAGTCAGTCCCAGGGCTCAGCCTTGTGGCTCTGGCCTGGTCCTGTTCCAATCTGCCATCTGCTTCCTGGTTGTCACCACCTAACAAGCAGCAGCTTGCTCTCCTGCTGCCATGCTGCAGAGGCAGCCCTTTGCCACGATTCCCCACCAGGGTGTACCCTAGTCCCTGAAATGCAAAGTTCCAGTCCGGCATTTTATGCAATGATGAGATGCAGGCCCTCTCAATAGCAGAGACCCACTGACAAGACTGTAAAGTCTTCACCCTGCAGGGATGAACTGAAGGTCAAGCTTCTCTCGAATCAGAAAGGAAAAGTTTAAAATGGAAATACAACTGAATTCTCATTTTTAAAGCTAGAATTTAGAAAACAGTAGCATAACTTTGAAATGAACAGAGAGAAAAGAACTGTGAAAAAAGAAAAAGTGCATTTCAGAAAGATCACTTAGGTGTGGTGAGTTTCAAGAGGTAAGCAGTCTACGCAACTCATCTGAGAAGTTTTGCAATGAAAACAGAGATCGCAGAAGGCAAGAGAGAGAGAGAGAGAACAGAGAGAGAGAGAGAGAGAGAGAGAGAGAGAGAGAGAGAGAGAGAGAGAGAGAACAGAGAAGGCATCCGGACAGCTAATCTGAATGGGGAAGAGTGAGTGAGAAACCATGACATCAAGAGTTTTGTTGAGAGGTGACATACTGCCAAGGGTGTTCTAGAGCAATGGGCACAAAACGTGCTAGACTGTTCCAGAAAGGTTCACAGCAAGGAGCTGTAGACACAGAGATTAAGACAGTGGTGCAGAAGGCAGAGAGTGAAGGCCTAGAGGTGTGACAAGCCAAATACAAAAAGAAGAGAGATGGGGGGAGGGGATTGCTAAATGGGCAAGCAGTGCCTTGAGCAGAGAGGACAGAGTGTAACCGGAAAAGGCGTAACTTTCACCAAGACAGTCACATTAAATAAACACACACACAAGCACACACTCACACAAGCACACACTCACACAAGCACACACTCACACAAGCACCAATGCAAGACGACAAAAGAGGAACTAGGCAATTGCCTGGTGGGTAAAAGTGCTTGTCACACAAGGAGCTGAAACTGAGTGCCCAGAAACCACACAGAAACCTGGCTTGTCATGAAAGCCATTGTGATCCCAAAACTGATAAAAGACTGTTTCATCTGCAATGAGCTGGAAGTGGCAGAATCTAGGAGATGGAGTAAGAGTCCCTGTGATACGGGTATTAGCTGGAAAGTACTTACTGATAAGCTTTACGAAAAATACGGTAGTCAGGTGTGGTGCGCTCAAACGGAAAGACTGTAACTAGAAGACAGTCTAGGGCCAATTAAAAAATTAATTCTGTTTGTGCAAAAAACATTGTTTAGCTGTGGTGATGCACCCCTTTAATCCCAGCACTTGAGAGTTTAGTTCAGCTCCCAGAAGGAGACTCACAACTGTCCATAAGTCAGCTCCAGACTTGCCACCATCTTCTGATCAGACATGCACATGACGAATGCACATACATGCGGGCAAAACACACGTATTCATATGCACATTAAAAGGGAAACACAAAAATCTAAAGAAGATTCCAGAGAACATTGTTGTA